TTGTGAGCTCTATTATTAAGAAGGTCTACTCAAGCCTCCATTTTCTTCGACGCCTTAGCTTTTTCACTCCACAGAAAACTAGAGTTATCCTTATCAAATCCCTAATAATTCCTTTATTATCTTACTGTAGTGATATTTTTTTCACTTTCCTTAGACTCTCAACTTCCTTAATAAAACCATCTATGATCGAAGAAAATTTCCCAGATTTACCATGTTCCCTCCCTGCACAATCATATGAAAACCGCAGAATACAAATTCAATTGTCACAACAATATCAGATGAAACAAATATGACACTGCAAGAATAGCATCTCACTTTATGAGAGGATTCTCTTTTTTTTTGCATTGCTGGCCATATGATGGCACCGCCATGCTACATTAAGTGAGGATGAAATACTTGGTTAAAAATTTATATTTACATCTGTATTGTATTTTTTCCAATCAACTCAGGCCCGAATAAAGGTTGAAACATCAGCAAAAAACTGAAAAAGGTGTTTTTCTAAAATACTTATTCCAGACCACTCGTCATGACTTCAACAAACCATAAATAACTATGAATAATTTTTAATTTCATTTCATAATTGAAAAAACTAAAAGCAAATTATTTAGAACATGTACGGATAGAAATGTGAGTTTTGCAATGATAGTTTTTTCTACAAAGGAAAATATGTGAGTTCCCTATTTCCCCCTTTCTTTTGTTCTGCCAACTAAGTCCTCCATGTAGGGCTTTTCTCCGTCAACAGAGGCCGGGCTGTGTACTTTCAGCTATCATACCATTCAACAAAATCTCAAGCACATCCGTAAACGTATTTGCTGTTTGGACGAATTGCTGCCTTTCTATCCAGTTAATACCAAAAGGTGAAATTCAAATTAAGGACGATTTAAGCACACATATAAATATGAAAACCTGCTTATTTTTTCTTCCTTCATTTCTCATACAGTCATAAGCAAAACGCGTAACACTATACTGTCATTACTCTGATCTATATTCTATGAAAGAAAAACTCTTCAAAGACCAAAGGGAAGTTCTAAACTTTTAAAGTTAGTATAAATTTGTCTTTGGATTGACTACAACAGCAATACAATTTATTTGTAACAACACTGTCTTTGTTAAATAGGCTAGTCTGTTTGTACCTACCTTATTTTAGGCAGTTATGTAAAATACATGGAAATTTGATATCTTTACTTATCGTTCTTCGTTTGTCTTATTTTTGTTTTGATTTTTTTCCGGTCTTTGCTGTGTTTTATTTACTTCATTTTTCGCTGGTGACTATCAAATTTAATCTGATGTCATATATTACAGTGCTACTATTTAGCAGACAGATCTTACACGTGGCCTCTTGTTTCATTGTTGTAGATATTTGTCTGTTTTAATGCTATCATCTATCAAAATTCCTTGTATAACTCGTCATAATTCTTGCCAAAGTTTGTGCAGTTCAAAACGCCCATAGAAAATCCACGTGATGGGCTTTGATGTTTTCCATAATTACAAAATCTTTTGTTTTGTTTAACTTTGGAAAAAATCCTAAACCAAATTAAATTTGTTTGTTGTGCGAGTTTTGATTGCTTCGTTTAATGTCGGTGTTGTCTGTTTAGTAAGCTATCAATGAATGAGGGATTTTGGGTTGATCCATGATCTCGGTTCGTTTTTTGAAATAATTTTGTAAGACCAATTTTGCAAGCAATAAATAAATAATTTAACTTTATTGTGATTTGTGTTAGATTTAAAGCAGTTTGTTTATTCGTATAAACACATAAATTATTTGAAATTTGGTCTGGAAATAAGTCAAGACAAGCAGACCACACGAAAAAATCTCGCAATCTCATTCACTATAATGTGCCCAATAAATTATTTATTTTGTATTCTTCAGGTACCTATTTAAATTATACAAATACATATAATTTATTAATATGAATTTATACAATGATGTACACAATATAGAAATTTTAGGTTTAATCAAAGTATTTGTACTTATTCAAAGTGTGTGTTTTCTGTGTAGATGTGCCACTGTTGTGTGCCGTGTTGAGAGTGAAATATTATTGTTGTTTATGTATGTTTGATTTTGAAGGAGGGGGAAGGAAGTAGGGTAGCAGAAATTCCTTTTTTTGTGAGGAATTATAAATCCCAGGCCCTGAAGATGGTCTCAATAAAGATCGAAACGTTGGCACAATAAAGAAAATGTTTTTCTAATTCTACATTACACCAAACCGCATCTCACGATCTCTAAATAATCATTAATTAACGATCACTAAATACTAAACATTTGCTTTTTATGTAGACATCGTGCATGCCTATTCCCTTCTATACAGAACAGTTCGGCTAAATAACGGTCTACGTTATATTTTTTAATCTATCACTTTGCGGAATCAATGTTTTCTTTCACAAGTTCTACAGGAACCTGAAGAATACAAAAGAAATCATTTATTTGCCACATTATTTAGCAATGAACTAGTTTGACTTCGAGTTATATCAGTGTTTTAACTAAGGGAATGTACGATGTCTACATAAAAACCAAATGTGTAGTATTTAGTGATCGTTAATTAATGATTATTTATAGAGATCATGAGATGCGGTCTGGTGTAACGTAGGATTAGAAAAACATTTTCTTTATCGTGCCAACGTTTCGATCTGTATTGAGACCATCTTCAGGGCCTGGGATTTATAACTCCTCATAGAAAAATGAATTTCTGCTACCCTACTTCCTTCCCCCTCCTTTAAAATTAAACATACATAAACCAACAACATTAATAACTCACTCTCAACACGACACACAACAGTGGCACATCTACAAAGAAAACACACATTTTGAGTGAGTACAAATACTTTGATTAAACAATTAATTAAGGTTTTTAGTTGAGATAAATAATTAATTGAATGATATTAATTGGTCAAGCGGACCACAAAAACGAGTGAATTTAACTTTGATTAAACCTAAAATTTCTATATTGTGTACAACATTGTATAAATTCATATTCATATCTTATATGTATTTGTATAATTTAAATAATTTTTATAAATCCCAAGCCCTGGAGATGATCTTAATCCTCAATCAGGTACCTGAATAATACAAAAGAAATCATTTATTGGACACATTATAATGGATGAGATTGCGAGATTTTTCCGTATGGCCTGTTTTTCTGAAAAACCAACTGAGATGATAAACCCAAAATCCCTCATTCATTCAAATACGATGATAGCTTACTAAATAGACAACACCGACATTAGACAAAGAAATCAAAACTCGCACAACAAACAAATTTAATTTGGTTTCGGATTTTTTTCAAAGTTAAACAGAATAAAAGGTTCTGTAATTTTGGAAAACCTATATCACACCAGACCGCTTCTCACTATCTCTAAATAATCAATAAAAAAAACTAACATTTACAACCTCAACACCTGTTCAACTAAATTCTATATCTTAGAAAAATCATAAAAACAAATAAAATATTCAATCAGAACTTGTCTACATCAGAAACAAACATTTACGGCCTAAACACTAGTTTCACTAAACTAATATATATCAGAAACAGAAAGAACAGTCAAGTCTACAACAATGAATATTTTGATTTCGAGTTATACTAGTGTTTTAAGTCAGTGAATAGGCACGTACGATTGTAAATTAAAAACAAAATTTGAACGAACAGGACCCTTAATCAATAATTTTCCAATGCGCCTATTTTCTCTTCAGGGTGGATGGAAAGCTGGGTAGAATGTCATTGAGACAGCTTTTAATATACAGTAAAATAGAGAATTCCGAAATCTAGAACACCAGGGAGCTTATTAAATAGTAACAAGAGGCTAAGAACGTATCCATATCTAACACCATTTTCAACCGGGAAAGATGTTTTGTTCATTTTACCAGTAGAGGAGAGCATATATTTACTGTTGTAGATGAGAAATAGTTTACAACCTTCCGAAGAAGTCTTCGTCGAAGATGAGTTAAACGCCACTTTAAAGTCAACGAAGAATGTGATTTTATCTATTCTTTTTAATATTTCCAGGTTAATAATATTCCTGTGCGAGAATAAATGATCAACTGGAGAATACCCTCTCGTAAGACTACAATTATTTGTTATTTGATAGTTACCTATCATCTTCGTCTGCCTTTCATCGCTGATTTTAGTCGGTTCAGACTCGTTTCGGTGTTCCATGTTCAATGTTTGGGTGATGGCGAAATGCTGAAACGCGCCTGAATCAACAAAAATCAACGAGTTTAGGCAGACAAGATGATAGGTAACTATCAAACAATAGGTTTATCACTCCGCAGACCACAATAGGAAATCTCACAAGCAAATATTTGTTCTAGGTAATATGCAAAAATGTAATCTTCGTCGTGGTTGTCTCGTGTCCATTCACCGATCCGTTTTTATTTTTTATTACCAAAAATATACATTATACAGCTTTTATGAAAACCCACCAGTAAACAATTATAGCCTACAAGTGAATTCATATAATTGTTTGTATTGGTTATTACTTATAGTTTAGTCGTATCCTGAACTGTCAATCCTCGCTGATACGTTTTGTAAATATTTTCACTTTTTTTACTTACCTTTTTAATTATAAAGTAGCATGACTTGCTGTGTCAATTCTATGATATATATAAAGATTGAACGATTTATATACAAATTCTGTGAATAAAAAACAATTTTATTATGTCATTTTATTTTGTCATAACAATTTCTTCATCAATTGGTAATCACAATAAAATCTTTTATTAATGGAATTTTTATATTGTATTAAAAATTACAACGTTTCACATATGTACAAATGCAGTCTCTCCAATACATTATTTTAGGAGAACGTATTTTGCATATTTAACAAGAAGCAAATTCCAAGCATATGCTTTGAAAAGATATTATTTAATAAAAAATAATATATTTCGAAATTACAAAGAACTAAAGATTATGTGCCAATTTATATACATAGAGACTTAAATATTAATTATAATTGTTATATATATATATATGCTATATATATATTAAAAGAGACAAGTTGTTTAATCGAAGAAAAAGAAAGCCTTTATGATTGTTTGGAGTTCAAATTGAAATTTCAATTTTTTATTATTCAAAGACCAGAAAATTCAAAATAAGTTAAAGAAAAAGGATAAAAGAGTCCATGTAACGGTTTCTCCTGAGTTTCTTACATGGATATATATTTTGTATTTAAGTAGATATAAAAAAAGGCTTTGATTTTTTTCGATTAACACACTAACCCGCCTCGATTTTATGAGCTATAAATGTTATATAGCTGCTATATATACTGAATATGTACAAGTTAACTACATAAAAAGATGTTTCAGCACAGATCAAGTAGCAAAGGAGAATCAGCCGAAAGAAGAAAAAGAAAAATCAAAATTGAACTAAAATTTTACGATAAACTGACGTGAGAAATTAATGAAACAATAAATTTTAGATTGAGCGTAGAACAACGGAACAAGCACCAGTTTAATTTACAATAATGAGATCACATACAAACATTGAAATATTAGAATTGTTTATTTAATTAATATTAAAATTCCTAATGTATTATTGATCGTTACAATCAATACAATTCAATTTTAACAAACAACATTTTCTTTTTTAAGAGAGAAAAGCAGTGTTGTTTGTAGTCAGGTTTTCTGAACATAATCGAGCCTTTAAGGTTCTATTAAATATACCTAAACAGTACGTCAATAAATTGTGATGAAAATGTAAGCAAGTTTACCTTAAACACTACTTAAAAATTTAAGACTCGTACTTTAAGAAATTAATGAAAAATTAAGCATATTATCAACATAAATTATAAAGCAGTTCTATTAAGTAGTTGAAGAAAAACAAGCAAAATACAACGAGAAAATCATACTCTTTAATTAAAAAAATGTTTGGCAGAAAATTACATTAAAAAACTACTGAGAAAATGTTTAGTTAGTTTTGAACAGAAAACGTTTTCTCCGTGTTTTCGAAATGTAACTCAAAAACACAAGGAAAGCACTAGTTTAAAAAAATCCCGCAAAAGGTCTTTTCGAGTAAACAAAACTTTCTTGTAAAAGTTGTGTTAGAATTTCATTCTTGCCACTTCTATAATTTTGGTTTTGTTAATAATACAAAAGAGTGTAGACATTAAATCCTGTTCCGTTGTTAATAACTCTTGTTTTTCGTGTTTTTTTTAGGATTCTTTTCGGACGCCAGCATCTAACTGTGAAACTATTGCAGTTCTTACGCTTGAACGCGTTTAACATTAAAATAATATAAAATATATATATATTACCATAATTAAGTTAAATACATATTAAAAACAATAAATTACATTTCATAACATTGCAAGCTGTTGCATCTTTTCTTTATGTATCAATTCTTCGCGTTTCTTCACTTGCTTTCTTTCCTTGGCCCTCCTGTTTTGAAACCAGATCTTGACCTGTGCACAAAGGAAAACACATATTTTACACAATGTAATGATTAGGAATAGAATACAACAATAACAAAAGCAACAAATTCTTGTAATAGAAAGGAAAACAATCGATTTTATACACAGGGTGCCAACTTGCTAGAAACACCTCTGGTTTTCTCAAAAACTACTCAACCTAGAAAATATATATTTTTAAATTATTATATTACAAGAGTGCTAGAGCACTACAAGTACTTGGTTCTCTTCATGAAGTAATTCATTAATTACATCCTAAAACAACAATACCGTTTTTCAATGGGGAGGAAATCGCGTGGCCACTGCCACTTTTGGATGAATAAATGGTGGCATATGGGTTGGAATGAGGATCCATGGTATTATATAAGCGGCTGTTGACTTAAAGACTTCTAGCGGTTTTAAAGAAAAATGGCATTTGAAGGTCTGTGTAGTAAGTAAGGTTGGATACGAAGTAGCTTGAGCAAAGGTTCCAACGATGCTGGAATGGAATGACTGGATTTTTGGAGACTGGAATGCGTGGTTAAACTCCAAAGTTCGATTCCGTATGTCCAGTAATGATGTAAAGGTGAATTTTTCAGTAAGAGTTTAGATGTGTTCACTTTTTGTAAAGGATGGTTGTACTTACAAAATTGTTGCAACGATCCACATTTCTAACATTAAATGCTCATTATCAGGTTGAAGAATTCTCTCTTGTAGGACTGACTTGTAAATCCTCATATAATGATGAGCATGTAATGCTTGTGGCCGGCTCTTTTATCCCTATCCCTTTTCGTAAGTAAAATCAACCTTTACAAAAAGTGAATCGTCATATTCACCCCACTTCAATTATTTCTATTTCGATGTGTTGTAAAATAATTTTCTGTAGTTTATTCCAGTCCAGTTCTATTATTTTGAGACGTGTGTGGGGGTTCTAAATAAGATTTTTATCGAAGTAAAGTAGCGAATGGCATTGGCCGCGGAGGAACCTCCAAAGGAACCAATTGTAAAAGGGTGAACGTTAGGTAAGTCTGATCCTTTCTTGAACCGTTCTTCCAAACAGCAGAGATGGTCCTGTTAGTTTCTGAAGGTCGGTGTTTGCTGAAATGATGGCGGTACCGTCTGCATGTGTGAGGAGTACCGAATAGAGAAAGGAACCAAGGATGTTTCCTTGTGCAACCCCGCTCCGGCATAATGGATGTGGGAGAAGTAGGTTGCCGTACATTAATGTACCAATACCTATAGATGAATTAGTAAGTAAATGAAAGTCCTGAGTTTCCATATGAAGCGTGGCACAATCGATAGAAAGCTTGCCTCAAGTCTAGGGAAGCACCCTCGCAACATTGCGTCTGCCACACTTTGGCACTGTTGAATGGTAGATGTCGCTTGCACCAGAATTGATGGGATGGGATTACTTTAAGGATGTTACCTAGGTGTTCCAGAAGGTTTTTTCAAATATTTTGTCAAGTAATGGCAGCAAACCGATGGTGCGGTATTACGTAGGGGGTTTGTTGAAGTTTTAGAGTTTTAGTAATGGGTTTTATGATTGATATTTTCAATTAGAGTGGAAATCACGTAGTTTTATCGCTTTTTAGGAAGATTTGGAAGGAAGTGATGATAAGAACAAAACATGGAGATTTTTATACAGGCTAATGATTGAGTTTGTGATGGAATGAAAATAATTAAAGTTTGTGTATGGTGTTTAGTGACCGTTAGTTAATGATTATTTGGAGATCATGAGATGACACTAGATCGCATCTCACGATCTCTAAATAACTAAAGTTTGTTTTCAATTTTTTCAGAAGTTTTGGCTTCAAAATTATTGGGCCGAAATAGTAGTTCATTAATAATTTGATATTTAAGCATTTTATTCTTAACGTCTGAAACAAATAAACATTCTGATGAATATATATTAATTTACATTCCCTTCTTTGTAATTATTGTTATCTTTCAACAGGGAATGTTACCATTCATTCAGACTTTTCATGGATCAGTTTTATTTTCAGAAAAGCAAGTCGATACCAAAGTTAAATCAGGGCGGCTGAAGGACCAAGATGCTGCAAACTGTTGAGCCAAAATTAAGCTTTTGGATTGGTCTCTTTCCGTGAAAGGCTAAGAACACTCGGAAAGGCGAGGACGCCTTAAACCTTTAATCGATACTCACAAGCGTCTTTCATTTACAGCAACTTGGATATACTAAGCTCTAATTATCACAGTATCATCATTGTAAAGGTAATAGAAATGATAAATGGTGCAGTGTATATGTTGTTCAATCTTTGTAAAAAGATAGTTCCTACTCACAGTTAGTTGCTTTCAACGATCCGGATTTCAAGCTTACAGCTCAAAGTACACTTTTACAATTCATCTCAAGAGACTTGGTTGTAAATTCCTTCAACCTGATGATGGGCTATAAGTTTGAAATCAGGATCACTGAAAACAACTAACTGTGAGTAAGAACTCTTTTTGTTAATATTGTACAGGTAATGTTTTATAGCTGTAACGATTGAAAATTTTATGGCATTTTAAAATAATTATTGCCACTTGACATTTATGCCGGTCACTTGTGGGGTTTAAATGAAAATAGAATAAGAAAAAAAATGCGCTGTAAAAACTTTTGTGTCAAATGCCGAAAAGCTTACGGAATAAATTAGAGTAAGGTAGGTGGGAGGAAAACTACAATTATTGACCATTCAATAAAAAAAGCAATAACAAGCTTTAAAAAAAATCTTGAATCAAGAAATGTATCACGGATGATTTATAAGGACTGAGTGATAAGACAGTAGAAGGAAAGGAATTGATAACTCAAATTGAAGATGAAACGTTCTTCTTCTACTCCTGTTTCTTTGTACTATATTCAGTTGATTTATTGTATATTGTTAATTACCTGTCTTTCCGAAAGGCCTAAGGATGTAGCGAGTTCGGCTTTCCTCCTGATCGTAATGTAACGGCTGTAGTGAAATTCCTTTTCCAGCTCGAGCCTCTGGTGATCGGTGTACACAACTCTGTACTTGTCTTTAGTCCTGGTTTTTCCTGCACAGGCAATCAAAACTGCATACCTTAGTGTTGCATTGTTTAAATAAAATCATTTCAACAATAAAATAAATGCAATCAATACATGTTGATAAAAGTGGAAGGTGTTCCCCGTTTTTGCCATGTTCTCATATAAAAATTATTATATTAAAAAAACAGAAAAAAAATTCTGTCAGAGTAGAACAAATAAGAAGAAGAATTTTGAGAAGATGTTGTGGTGAAACATAGGAAGCGAGTCGCCGTTATCGTGTTTTGTAAGCCGGTTAAGCCCGGATAGCGGTGATATCGGAGATGAAAGAAACCGCTTCATGTCATGTTGCCGACCGCTAAGCTCTGCTATCTAACTACTTATCTACAACCAAAATGGCTCCTACACCTGCCTCCTCCAACATTGTACATTACATCGAATTAGTTACATCATCAGCACCTACGAATAGAGCTACGATAAACGTACAGGCGTGTTTTACAAATTTGTGATTAGACCAAGTGAGCACTTGTACGAATAACAGCAAAACGAAAATCTCGATTTGCACAAGTAGTAGAATAGACTATCGTGTAAATGCATACTTCATAATATTTTTGTTTGGTAGGTTTTCTCTGCACCTGTTTTTATGACAGATTTATATATCAGGTCACAAAAATCAGAAATGTATGTACTAACGTTGAAACAAACTGAAAAAAAAGCATAAGATAATGTGGCATTGCCCACTCCAAACTCTACTGGCGATAACGCAGCGCTTTATTGCGAGGTCTGCGAAGTGATGAACCTGTAGTTTGGTCCTTTCCGAACGTCTGTCAGAGGCGTTTAGATTATCATCTTCGGTATTTAATTCAGTAGGTTAATTTTTAAACTCTATTTCTATCAATGTTCTAGATTGATAGTTAAAGCTCATTTGGGATCATATTTTGAAACATTTTTTCTTTTCCAAAGTTTTTAGATTACTTAGATTACTAGTGGCGTCCAATCAAGTACCGCTACGCACCCCCCATTAAGTCAATTACTAATGCCTGAAGTTGGTCCATTCCGACATTTTTGGCCAGTCAGACGCGTTTCGCTTATCATCTTCAGTGTTGGAATTGATACCAATTATTATTAAAAACTGATGTCGAAAAGCCGATATGCATCCGACAGACCAAAAACAGCGATGATATGCAGAAACAAAACGACCAGAAATATATGTATCTACACCCCTTCTCCACCAATTACAAAACTTTCATCTTATTTTTCAAGGTACACGTGTGTGTGTATGTACACCTGTACGCCTGTACATTCCTTATCGAACCAGGCAATTTTTACTGTTTGTATTAGCATTATTGCAGTTAACCGACAAATCTAAATGTCCATCTAATTAATCCAAACATGTTTTGGTAAGCAAAGAAATTTTTCAGTTTGACAAGTATAGTTTTTGTTCCAGTTACATTGAAAAGGTATTGTGGCTTGGCCTAATCCAAACTCTATTATTGTAAATAGTGCATTTTTAGCTCTTAAATTGTAAGGTCCGCGAGGTGAAGTGTTGGTTTTAACCAAAAATAAATAAATAAAAACTGAAAATGGCGAGAAGCTAAAACGCATCCGACAGACCAAAACAGCGATGATAGCAGATCAAAATGATCAGTAACTACTTAACTTCCCTTGATTTTTATACAATTTCCATCTTATTTTTCAAAGTACACGTATGTGTACCACCTGATTGTATGTTTATACAGGTATTCTTTAATAAAGGAGGCCAGTTTTACTGTTGTTTTTTCCATCATTGCAATTATTCGAACTGGGGTCGATCCCAAGTGAACTTGCGGTACTACTTTTTTTTGTGTAAAAATCTAATATTTGGCGAGAAGTTTAAATGTAAATTTTTCCTGTTAAATTGAAAATGAAGGGAACAATATAGATTCAATTAAAATTTTGTGCTTCTAAGTAAAAATCTAAGCAATGGAAAGAATAACACATAACAGTTTCCTAATCTGTACCATTGAAGAAGCGGCTTTGAAACTTAACAAAACTTGCATCTTGTTAACGAGGACAAATGGAGCAACCAACTACAGCATTGCAACTTATTGCTAGTAAAAGGGGATCTTGTGAGCTCAGAGGAGCTTTGATATTGAATTTTCTCGCCTATCGTAGCTCAATCCATAAATTTATTAATTATAAAAATAACCCAATTATAATAAATAATTATAATAAAATACATTAAAAATAATATCGTTTGGTCTTTCCAATTGTTTTGGCCAGTCTTTCTTTACTCGCTGTTTTGGTCTGTCAGAAGCATTTCGGCCTTTTGCCAACACCAGTAGATCGTTGCTTATGTTGTCACAATGAACTGACAAAAATGACATTTTAATTATTATTTCGGAAGCAACTATATGCAGTTGAATTTAATCATAATGAAAAAATAATTATGAAATTATATTTAGATTGCAGTAAAAAAAAGGCGGTGTCTTCTGAAGTCATTTGGACGAGTGTATAGTGATTTATTGCCCAGTGTAGCACAACAATGGTAAAAAGTAGTCCAAAGCTGACTGTAATGGACCTTTAGGGGCAGAATTGACAAATGACAACGTCTCAATGTTTTGACGTCTACACTATTCATGGGACAGGTAAAGGAGCCGTGACGAACCGACTACACGACCCCTTCGCCAAAACTCATCAGTCTGCGGGACCAGACGGTGGTGGGTGTCGTTAAAGTCAATTAAAACCTTTTCAACTGAGATTGGTGGATTTTTTTGACATATGACATAGATGATTATTATTGTGATAACTACTAAATTGTAAAAAATATATATTAGGGCTGAGGGAAAAAGTTATCAAAAGGCGCCAGCCCCAATTATCCGTGGACCTGGCCATTAGAAATTTATTGAGTTCACCTTTAAAGATAATTTTCTAGTAGTACAATCTAAATAAATAAATTATTAAATTTGCATAATTTTCTTGGGGTCATCCATCATCAATCTGGGAGGTAATTTTTAACCAATATTTTAAGTAATATTTCACACCTCATCAGTAAAGAGTAATGGGAGGAATTCCTAAATGGTTGATTTTAGGTTGACGTATAATTAAGAGTAATAAAACTTAAATAATTATAGTCTGCAATAATTGAAGCGAAAATATGGGATATCCCATATTAAAGTTGTACTAGGGTTGGTTTTTGCAGTCCTAGAAGTTCATGATAATAACTACGTTTGTCTCAGGTAAAATTAATGTTGTTATAATTAAACTGTGAAATATCTCTGCGTGGTCGGCGTGATGAATCGGTAATTGGTCGCTACCGATGATTTCGGTGTGACTATCCTCGCTGGTTTGGTCATTCAGTGGGGCTGTTTATGTATAGTTTGATAAGTTTAAAATGGATTGACAAAATAACACCCAGATTGAAGATGTGAAAGACCAAACTAGCGAGGATAGTTAGACCAAAATGATCGGTTACGAATAAATTATTGTTAGAGATAGAGTTTAGAGATTTTGGAAAAGGTGGTTTGCTAAATTCCTGGAATTACATCTTTCATGGAAGATACAGGGTTACCTTTTGATCAGAAGCCGAAGTTTTTGTTGTCCAACGGAAATGTGCAGCCTGATACTTAAGGAGCTGATATAAGATAGAAATCAGTACTACTCTATACTTTTACTCTTTCGCAATTCATGATCATATAGTTTTAACATCAACACTTAAAAGGTAACTGTCTTTCAGAATAAACGCAACATTGCTATGTTAATCTCACAACCAGTAGGCAGTAGGCAGCCAAAAAAAGAGGGTTGAGTTGGTAATCGGAGCACCCCAAAATCGGCCAGACCGTAAATTTTCCCAACGGTTTGGTAAATTGCAGTAGATCGTTTTGATTTTAATGGTCTTCATAAAATACTAGTTGGATCGAGGCGCAACAGGCATATTCGTTAGGCGAGTGTATGTGTCGGTTTGCGGTTGAAACATGGTGTCAGGGGTGTGGGACGACTTGGTAGAAGTGGTTGTTGGCAATTATTGGAAGCTCCCTTTAACTACCCTCAGGGGAGACATTCCAACACCCGCTCAGATTTGTCCCGTTTAGCATCGCTTCCTCCACCCCGCACCCCTCTTATTTAATATTTCCACCCCACGAGTGTCACTTCTCACTTCTTAATCGGCAAAGGGCCTACAACATTAAATCACGACGGTGCATCATCTGATAATGGCTCCCTCGCCGCACATCCCGACCCCCGTTCTCTGATTGACCGTTTCGCACAACTACCGGCGCCGCTTTCTCTTTTCACCCCGGCTGACGGCAAATCGAATGGGTTGAGACTTCGAGGAAATACGAAGAACGAAGGGAGAACGTCTGACCTGATTTACAGGCGGGAACCTCCACAGACAATTCCTCAAGAAATAAACACCAATCTAGTATCACCCTGTTGAACCTTCCGACACGAATAAATACAGTTCAAAGCTACCACTATTAAGTAGAAACGTTTAAAAACCTTTATTGTAGTAATATTTTATCATTTTTTCCCAATCTGACTCGTGTTTAGCCGATTCGAGCTTTGCCTTCACAAGTTAACATTAAATGAAAGAAATTTGGAAGATAAATTATCTGTTAATCTATACACATTACCGGCCGAAAAGCGTCAGGAAAAGAAAAAAATTGTACAAATTCGACTTTGTAACCGATGGAAAACCGTGGATTGGAGAATCGCTTGGATAGAGGCCTTTATCAAAAATTTGATGATTTGAGAAAATAGCCACCAATTGCAGGCACGTTCAAGCAGACAGATCCTCTAATATTCAGTTTTATCTTCCTATCACAAAAGCAAAAAATTAATACTGTGTCGCAAAGAAAATATTACATGTAAAGCAGAATAACGTCTGATTGCCGTCGGTGTTGTCATTAACTGAGTATTAATCCGTGTGATTCAATTTAGACCACAATAAATCAAACAACGACTTCGTAATGAAGTTTGAATTCATCAAGGAGGATCAACAAATTGAAACATTATTGGTAGTGAATAAATAAAACATTTTTCAAACTTCAACAACGGTCCTGACTGTAAGTAT